ATTTTACACTCTGTAGGTCTAAATATTAATCAGATATTTATAATATTATTTTACACTGTGTAGTAGAGCTGGGCGGTATGACCTAAATTTTATATTGCGGTATTTTCAACAATTACATTGGTTTCACTGTATTTGACGGTATTTTTTTTCCTCACTGCTCAGCTGATAATAAAATGTACAAACTTTGCTTATTGACTTTTTTCTTTTACTGTACCTCTGTATCACTGTTTCCCTCCTCTTGTACGTCTTTTCTTCTTTGTCTGGTTGTAAACAGTAATCATGCATTTAGGTCTGATCGTGAAGGGTTGAGAAAAAATCATTATCTGGTCTATTGTTGCATTTACTAAAATTTAAAAGGACGACTCACCTTACACACCAGTCAACTTCGCTACTAGGGTTGGGCAATATTGGCAAAAAAATAAATCACGATTAATTGGGGTATTTAGCCGATAACGATTAATTTGACGATTAATCCCCTGGAGTCCCTGGACACCCTTATTTCATAGTCACATGACCGATTTAGTGGAAAATATTTGCTCTTCATAAAAATCTGTTCCAAATTGTGTCAAAATTACAGACTTCAGGCTATACATCAAATTTTAAATTGTGTTGATAAATAAATAAGTTACAGAACTTTTTTTAATGTTCGTCATATTTGAAGCTGAGAGGAGCAGTGAGCGGATTCTAACTGGTGGCATTAATCGTATTAATTGTCAAGTGCCAAAAATTAATCGATTAATGTTTTTTTGACGATTAATCACATACGATACGATTATGCCCAACCCTATTCGTTACATTACAAAACTACTTCCCCCCGGGCTTTTCACAATAGAAGCACGCTAGAGTCTCCATGCAATAACGTCTCCATTATAACGTAGCGCGTTAAATTTAACCGTGCACGACACTTTTTTTTGATGACACTGAAGAGTTGTTTACTATTCAGCGATGGTGAAAACAGGATGGGTTTGTTTTTTTTAACGTCAGACCATATAAGAGGCTGAAACACCACCCACCGCCAGTTGTTCCAACAATAACGTTAGCATGCTAATGCGCTTAGCGGTGCTGCAAGGAAACGTGTCCCGAGGGAAACAGTTCACTGGCGGCCGCAACGAAACGTTCCTCACGTGTTCAGGCTATTTAAACCGGTATTCAGAAAATTCATATCATAACAAAAATAAAAACCGGTTTTCGGTACAAAACGGTATACCGCCCAGCACTACTGTGTAGGTCTAAATATTAATGAGACATTTATAATATTATTTTACACTCTGTAGGTCTAAATATTAATTAGAGGACAAAGTAATATTTAATAGTTTGTGTTAAATTGTAACATGATTCAACAGAGCTAAACTCTGTATAAATGCTCCACAAGCTAATATCTGCTAACCAGTTCAATAAAAAACAGTGATTACATGGACTTTATAAGATTATTTTAATTTTAAACTGTTACATAGAGCTGGGCGATATGACC